TAATTTCATAGTAGGTTTAGAACTCTCTTATTTAAACAAAAGGGGGAGGTGTTGGGGGAGGTCCTCCCACTCCTCCAGCCTATAGCTGCTGAGATACCAGCCCATTGGGGCGTGGTTCTCTCTCTCTTTAAAAAAGTGGCCACTTCCTCTCCTCTCTCTCTTCACTTCCTGCTCCGCAGGCGACTAGACTCCCTTCCTGGTTGCGCAGAGGGCTGTTGCCTGGGACAGTGATCTGTATGTTTTTTTCCGCTTTAAATAAATACCACCCTATTAATCATAATTCCAAACCTGTGTGGCATTGTTTATGACTTACGCCTTATACTATGTTGATCCTCCCAATCCAAGAGCAAGGGAGGTCCTTCCATTTTCTGGTATCCTCCTCAATTTCTTTCTTCAATGCCTTAAAGTTCTTGTCAAATAGATATTTCACTTCCTTGGTTAGAGTTACCCCAAGATATTTTATGCTGTTTGTGGCTATCGTGAAAGGTGAAGCTTCTCTGATTTCCTTCTATGCTTCTATATTTTTTGTGTATAAGAGGGCGACTGATTTTTTGGAGTTGATCTTGTATCCTGCCACATTACTAAAGCTGTTTATCAGCTATAAAAGTTCTTTGGTGGAGTTTTGGGGGTCGCTTATGTACACTATCATATCATCTGCAAATAACGAAAGTTTAACTTCTTCCTTTCCAATTTGAATCCCCTTGATCCCATTATGTTGTCTTATTGCTATTGCTAGAAATTCAAGCACTATATTGAGGAGGTATGGAGAGAGTGGACAGCCTTGTCGTGTTCCTGAGTTTAGTGGGATGGCTTTGAGTTTCTCTCTGTTTAATTTGATGTTAGCTGTTGGCTTGCTGTAAATAGCTTTTATTATATTTAGGTATGACCCTTGTATCCCTAATCTCTCCAAGACTTTTATCATAAATGGATGTTGAATTTTGTCAAATGCTTTTTCAGCATCTAATGAAATAATCATATGTTTTTTTTCTTTCAGTTTATTTATATGATGGATTACATTGATAGATTTACGTATGTTGAACCAGCCTTGCATCTCTGGGATGAAGCCTACTTGATCATAATGGATAATTTTTCTAATGTGTTCTTGGATTCGGTTTGCCAGTATTTTGTTGAGGATTTTTGCATCGATGTTCATGAGTGAGATTGGCCTGTAATTCTCTTTCTTGGTTGAGTCTTTGTGCGGTTTTGGTATCAGAGTAACTGTAGCTTCATAAAGGAATTTGGCAATGCCTCTTCTGTTTTTATATTGTGAAATACATTAAGGAGTATAGGTATTAGCTCTTCTTGGAAGTTCTGGTAGAATTCTGCATTGAAACCATCTGGTCCTGGGCTTTTTTTGGTAGGGAGGTTTTTGATAACTGCTTCTAATTCTTCGGGACTAACAGGTCTATTTAGATTGTTCACCTGGTCTTGGTTTAACTTTGTTATATGGTATTTATCTAAAAAAGTGTCAATTTCCTTTACATTTTCTAGTTTTGTCGCATACAGGCTTTTGTAGTAAGATCTAATGATTCTCTGAATTTCCTCTGTGTCTGTGGTTATGTCCCCCTTTTCATTTCTGATCTTATTAATTTGCAAATTCTCTCTCTGCCGTTTGATTAGTTTGGATAGGGGTTTGTCAATCTTGTTGATTTTCTCCAGGAACCAGCTTTTTGTTTCATTGATTCTTTGGATTGTTTTCTGTGTTTCTATTTTGTTGATTTCAGCCCTCAGTTTGATTATTTCCAGTCTTCTACTCCTCCTAGGTGAGTCTGCTTCTTTTTTTCTAGAGCTTTCAGGTGGGCTGTTAAGTCTCCAATGTGAGCTTTCTCTGTTTTCTTTAAGTGGGCACTAAGTGCTATGAACTTTCCTCTTAGGACTGTTTTCATAGTGTCCCATAAGTTCGAGTATGTTGTTTCTTTATTTTCATTGAATTCAAGGAAGACTTTAATTTCTTTCTTGATTTCTTCCTTAATCCAGGTATGGTTCAGTAGTTGACTGTTCAGTTTCCATGAATTTGTAGGCTTTCTGGGGGTAGCATTGTTGTTGAATTCTAACTTTAATCCAGTCTTTGATTCTTATGGACACAATAAGGCAATTACAAAAAAAATTGACAGTGTTTGAAACATCATGCACAAGACTTAAAAAGTTGAAGCCAGACAAAATCCCAGCATTGGGGTAGGTGTGGGCATGAAGTCTTACTTGGAGATCTTAGAAATTGATATCTTCCAGAATATTTGGCTTTCCTTAGCGGTGTGGCCCTAATAGGTTCAACACTGCAGTGGATGGTGTATCTTCCAAAAGAAGATTTGGTTTCCTTTAGGCTGTGCCCCGGTAGATTCAACACTGCAGTGGATGGTCACACACCTAAGAGTATACAGGCAGCACTAGTGAGACGTGATGAGGTTTAAAAAAATTGAGTACACATATTTGTGTTGGTGTGAAATGGGGGGTAGATTTGGGGTGAAATTGAAGAGAATTTAAGGTACATCAAATGAAACTCTCAAAGAATTAATAATCAAAAGAAAGCTACTGAACTTAATAGTGTTTGCTTTTAGTACCAGCACTGGGAAGTGGAGAGACAGTGTCTCTTGGGTTAGCCAATCAGTGAGCGCCAATTACAATGAGAAACCCTGTCTTAAAAAATGCTGGGAAATTATCTGAGGAAGACACCCCTACATTGAACTCTGGCCTCTATACACATGTGTGTGCATCATGTGTACCCACTGACACCTACCACATATGTATCCCACCACCACCACAAAATGTCTTAGAGTTCAGAAGCAAGAGACTTTGGTTATCACTCTTACCTTCAGTTTGGTTCATTCTGGACTCTGAATTACATTTTTTTAGAGGGAACCAGAAAGGAAAAGTCGTCGTTAGCCATGAAGTCCCTGCTGGTTATTTTGTCATCAACAGCATGAGCTCTCCATGGGCAAACCCTTATGCCTTCTGAACAAGCTCTTCCACTCCCAGATCAGCCCCAGACAATAAAGCAATTGTTTCTTGTTTTCTCATATTTGAGCTGGTATGGACATATCATACCAGTTGGGTCTTCTTGAAGGTTTAAAAAATTATAACTCATGCCTATTTTTTCAGGGTTTCTGACTCAAAGTATGAGGGGGAAGCTTTGTTAACTAGTTATTTTCAAGATGTGGAACCAAGTTAGGGTGTGGCTTTCTGGGACCCGGAGAAAAATGGGTGGTGGCCCAGATGCTCCCTCTCTGTGGTTTCCACACAGCACAGCTGACCTTGTTCCTATTTCATGAATTTTTCCTTTATAATAAATAAAAATATAAGCTTTCTTTTATCTAGATTGGCAATTTACCAAATGGAGCTAACTTCTACAAGGTAAATTGATAATATCTATCTCATTTGGCTGTGAGCTTATGTATATATATATATATATATATATATATATATATATATATATGTGTGTGTGTGTGTGTGTATATATATGTGTATATATATACATATATATATATATATATATTTTAAATTCTGAACTGAAATATGGAGGTCCTTAGAGATACCATTGGTCTTAGCACCCACTATGTCACATTGAAACAAATGGAGGAATTTTACAGTATTTTTTATTTAAAGGTATTTGTTCTCATCAAATAAGAGATCATATAAAAACAGGTATAAAGATAATATGTTGAGTGATGATTGAAGTGACATGTTTGTGTATTTTCACATTGAACTCTAAGTCTAATATAGTATGCCAATATCTCAAGGTTGAAATTTTTTTGAACTGACTATTGAAATTTTGAAATAATAACATAAAATAGAATCTACATATAATAATTTCATTCAAAATGAGTGTCTTCTTGAGAAGACACTTCTCTCAGTAGATGTAGTGTTTTTTTTTCCAAATTTACTTCACAGCCCTACAATTCATTCATTCTTGCTGCCACAATACAAGCATAAGCAGGTGTTACATCTAAACTATTGAGGCAGATGCAGATTCCTGTGGACAACAATGCTTTGTAATTTGTTCACCACATCAGCAGACAGTAGGTTATTTAGAAATGTGGTTACTTCTTTTGTTAAGCACTTTCTTGGATGCACGGTTAGTTGCTACTGCTCTGAGACCGGAACTAGAATGTTCTACTGGACTGGAAAGGACTTCAAAAGCAAAGCTAAAAAGGACTTTAGTTTCTTGTTAATTCTGCAACCTGATACCTATCCAGGCTGAATTTAAGAGAAAAATGTCTGTTCTCCATGTGCCTTACTGCCACCAGACACTGCTAGAGAGTCCAGATGCATGTTGTTCAAAAGGCAGGCTTATGTGTTGGGAATCCTTTCTAAAGAACATATGGAGTGCAATGTACTTGACACTTAAACCTCTGTAACTGACCATCTATCAATCATGATTCTATATTCATTCTGTGTCAATTTCCGGGGATTCATAAAACATACATAAATGTTCAAAATAGAACTAATTAGTATTTTCATTATAATAGTAAACACATTGTTAATATAGTAATGAGTAGCATAACTGATTGTACAACCCAGGTAAGGGTATTACATTACAAAATATTTAACGTATTAGGTTGAAACAGTAGAAATTCTAAAGCTGAATTTATTCATTCAAGGTAGGAAAATTTGAACAACAATATAAATTTTAACTCCAAAAAATGAATGGTGAGCCATAATAAAAGCCATCTTAGATCTCAAACATGAGATCTTAGTTATTCAATCTCAAAAGGCATTCAGATTGAATAACTGTTTTTTAATATTAATTTTACTGTGTTAAAGTTAAAACTTTTTTGATTAGACAGATAAGGGGAAATGATGTGGGATGCCATTCTTTACTCTATGAATATGTGTGGCTCTCATTGATGGATAAATAAAGCTAAGGTGGAATATACCCAGACAGAATACAGCAAGGCAGAAAAGCCAAAATGAATACAGGGATAAAGCAGGGCAGAGTCAAGAGAGACACCATCCAGCAATCCAGGGAATAACATGTCAGCAGACCAGTAATGCTACAACCATACAGCAATCCTTTGATTAACAGAAATTGATAAATTTAAACATAAGAACTAGTTATTAATAAGCCTGAGCCATTGGCCAAACATATATAATTAATATTAACACTCTGAGTCCTTATTTGGTAACTGGTGGATGGAAGAGAACCTCCAGTTATACAATATCTAAAACACTCCCTATTTATCTCATTTCATTTTAGGCAATCTCTTCTTTTTTTCATGTTGGTGGATAATGACTTTTTATGTCTTTTTCATTTTTCAAATGGCCAAAAGACACTAAAGGTCATGCTCAACTTCCTTAGCAATCAGGGAAATGCAAATCAAGACAACTTTAAGATACCATTTAAAATATTTATTAGTGTGTGTGTGCACCCAAGTTTTTCATATATTTATCATTTACATTTGGTCCACGGAGGTCAGAAAAATGTGTTGTATCCCCTGGAACTGGAGTAACAGATAAATACAATCTGTCATATGGGTGTATCATACGGGTGCTAAGAACAGAACCCAGGTCCTCTGCAAGAGTACTAAGTGCTCTAAATCACTGGTCTATCTCTCTAGCCCTAACTTTTGTCTCTTTCCATAATATATCAATCTGTCTACCAATTTCTTCTTATGTTTGATCCATGTGTATCTATGTAAAGGTATTAAAACTTCTTGGACTTATTTCCATGTTGTTTGACTTTCCAGGAGAAGATGTGAATAAATGTCTATTCACCCCAGATAGGACACTGAGGACTAAATGACAAAATTATTCCATGCATGTAGCTTAATAAATCAGGGATTTCATTAGGGCTACTTATTTCATAAGTGATTTAAGGGCAACACTATCCCCCAAATGCTCACACCCGCATGAAAAAATTCTGTATCCTTGGAGTACCCTGATAAACTTGTATATAGTTTCACCAAAAAGACTCCAATTCCCAGCAACTGCTTACTGAATATAAACATGGTGAGAAGCCTTATGAACCTTGTAACCTCTGGACTCCCTAAACCTTGTCCATTTTTTAAAGATTCTTGGACATATGCAATGATTAATAGTAATAATAATAATAATAATAATAACAATAATTTGAAGAATGTTTAAATGAATATAGTTCTAACATCACTCTCCTTTAGATTTCCATAATCTAAAGACTAGACTCTTACCACATTCTACACAGTCTCCTTACTGTTGTCTTTATTTTCCTTCCCCATCCATTCCATTTTCTCTGTACATCATACATATTTTGAAGTATTCATTGGCTTTTAAAATGACTTTTTCAATCTTGTGATAAAATATTTTCATAGGTCTTTACTTTCTTTTGATCAAAGTGTCAATAACTCAGCATGGACTCTTACCGATACCTCAAATTTTTGTTTGAACATATTTCCTAGGCCATATACATCTTTTTTGATCTCTTCAACATTCTTGTAATTGTTTTTTAAGTGTGTCACTGATTTCTTCTTGATGCTTTTCCATTTGACTCTGCGGTTCTAAGAAATAGCTATTCTACTTCCACACTGGGTGTGTCACACTCTTTTTCCACTCTCACAGTGTCTGCTTACTTACAACTTTGCAAACCTATGTCGCTTTAACCCCTTAAATTGCTCAACAACAGTTGTCATACAGTAGTTACACATTTTACTGATGAGTAAATTAATGAATGAGTGAAAGAATAAATACTATTGCTTCCACTCCACTTTGTCGTATTTCATTCATTTTGATAGACTGTAGGGAATTGGTTTTAAAGATTTTTTTCACACTGAGTTTTATGATCTCTGCATAGACACTAAGTATAATAGTGGGTCAAAGATGACAATGCCAGTTGAAATGCTGACACCATGACTACAAAAACTCTTATAACAGAATTCATTTAATTGGTGCTTGCTTAAGTTCAGAGGTTACGCCATTGTCATTATGGCAGGAAGTGTGGTAGCACACAGGTAGGCATGGCTCTAGAGAGGTACTGAAAGCTCTACATCCAAATTTACAGGAAGCAGGAAGAGTGAGACACTGGATCTGTCTTGAGCATTTAAAACCCTAAAACCCAGCCCCAGTGACACATTTTCTCCAACAAGGCAACACCTACTCCAACAAGATCACATCTTCCTATCCCTGTCAAGTAGTGTCACTCCCTAATGACAAAGCTTTCAAACATATGATGCTATAGAGACCATTCTTATTGAAACTACCACATATGCCAACAAGGTAGGGGAACTTCTGTGGCCATACCCCTAGATAAAGATCTGCAGACAGTTAATCACTGCTGAGGAAAGGAGACTCAGTCTTTAAATCCCAAGTTATCATCTTTGGCCACATACTAACTCAGTCAGTTTTATATGTATATATGATATATAATATAACAATAATTAAAGAAAGGGTCATGAATTTGAGAAGGAATCAGGAATGGCCATGGCAGGAATTGGAGGAAAGTGGAGTGGAAATAATGTAAATGCAATACCCAAATATAAAACTTTCAAAATTTAAATAATTTAGTTTATTTTTAAAATTAAGCATATAGCTTTCAAAATGCACATTTATGTATCATTTTCTAAAATATAATATTATATACATAATCAAAATATGTTAGAGATAAAAAGTTAAAAAGGGGGGAAAGTCTTTACATGTATTCAGGCATTCCTGCAGTAAGAAAAAGTTCCATTCCTTGGCAAGTGTTTGTGTCCCCAATGATTGGTAGCAGCTTTCCTCTCAGTTCCAAACTGAAAGTGGGAATGAAGTATCCCCTAAGCAATAGAGCTTATAAAGGAGATATTGTGACATAAAGGCACATAAACTTTCAGTTTGAAGTTGATGTATCTGGATTTGAAAACCCACTTGAGAATTTTTTCAGCCATTCTTAAGCTCAGAAAAGATGGACAATATTATCCCCCTCAAGACTTCTTCTGAGGGGTAAATAACACATGGTTATAAAAATTTTAATAAGTGAATTAATATGAAAACGATTGAATACTTATTAGTTTTCCCAAAGAGGATTGCTGTCTTTGTATGTAGCAAATGTCCATGTCCACAGGGAATATTAAGAAGCATGCAATGAAGGTTCCCTAATTGTCTGTCAACAGACAATTGTCAGTAGTCTCCTGGGTTTACAACGTGACTGATAAAGAGGAGTCCTTCTGTTGCTACCTTGGAGCTGGTGAAACAGAAAGTGTGGCGCTTCCTCACATTAGGTGTGGTATTATGACTTCTTTCTCCATCTGGCTCTCAGTCTTTTGAGAAACATGAATAACAAAGTCATGGAACTGGCAATGTTTGAGTTGCCAAGCTCACCCTGAGTTTGGTAAGGGCAGTATTTGTAGGGCTATACCCAAAACATAAACATTTCTCTCTCTCTCTCTCTCTCTCTCTCTCTCTCTCTCTGTCTCTGTTTCTCTGTCTATGTCTCTGACTCTGTGTGTATGTGTGTGTGAGAGAGAGAGAGAGTGTGTGTGTGTGTGTGTGTGTGTGTGTGAGAGAGAGAGAGAGAGAGAGAGAGAGAGAGAGAGAGAGAGAGAGATCTCTATAGCTGGTCCTAATGGCCTGGGAAAGAAGTTGAGGGTAAAGAGTTATATCAGTTGTTCAGATCATAACCATCTTTAACTCCAATTACATTTAAATTTTATTTTAAAATGCATGTGGACATGTTAATAATCAGTTATAAAATCTTTTAGATGATTAATATAATTATAAGGAAAATGTTGTGACTCTCAAGGAACCCCAGGAAACATAATAATAATAATTTAAAGTTTGTATCTTTCTGATTAGTAAAATGTTATACCTTTTTCAACTTGTTATTGAATATTTGATGTACATCCCTTCTGTACGAATATCAAAAATTAATAATCTATTTTTGTGAGTAGTTAAAACATACCTATATACAATTTTCTTTTTTTTCCCCAGTGGACAGGATGTCGCATCCCAAGCATTTTATTATCAATGTTAAGCAAACAGAACTTCATCTTTGAAATATTTTATATGAAAGTCACTATGACACTTTCAATATTACAGGGGCACAAAATAATTACTTATATATGGGTTTCATTTAAAGGTGAGGTATTCAAATGTTTGCTGTGTTCATGAATGCATGCATTCTTTGAATTCATGAATATCAGTGATCCAGCAACTAGCAAAATTAGTTCTTTGATGTACTGCTAATTCTTAAACCCTCTTGCTTTTCTAAACCACGGAAATTTTTTTTTCTCAATAAAAAAAAAAGATTCCAGCTTAAAAGATACATGTAAGTTTATGTCAAGTAAATAAAACCAGTCAGCACCAGGGAACTCAAACATTTTAACATACTTCACGATTTCACTAATACAAGTCAGAAATGGAATTTTCATCAAGTAAGTCAAAAGTAAGTTGAAAATTAAATAATTTAATATTGATACTTGAAATAAATGATATCTGTCTAAATTATATGTCTAAATACAAAGACATTCAGAGAAAACAACACAGGAAAAACAAGCATATGATATACAAAACTTTGTGGGACAAATTTCCCCAAAGATATGTAAAATTGTTATGATACAAAAACATTGATCTCTACAAAAAAGCCAAATAATCTCCTACCATTTACTATCTTCTATGTGATTATTTTAGCTATAACTGCATCCCACCATTCTTCTGAAAACAGCTCTCCAACACCCACTCTTGTAAGTAGCATTCATTTCCATGCTTCTTTTATTTTAAAAGATTTGATAGATTGATAATTATACGTGGCCTATATACAATTTTCCACAACACACTTTTGTTACAACTTTTCAAATATTTATCTTACTGGTTACATATTATTTTTGGTAGATTTACATTGTTTAAACTTTCCCTTCTTTGTGGAAACTAGAAAGCTCATTAAGAAAATTAGCCATGAGGTTGTTCAGCATTTAAGAGCATTTGATGATTTTCCAAAGGACTAGAGTTTGGTTTCAAGTAACTCTAGCTCCAGATGATCCAACACCTTTTTCTGACTCCCACGGGCACTGTACTTATATGACATATATACAAACATATGCACATACACAAATAAAAACAAACAGACC